ACCCAGCCAAGTACCTTTATCTGCTCCCCACCATTTTCAGCTCACTTTTATGTGGTATCTTCCCATATTAGAATGGGGGCTTCATGAGGGTAGAGACTATCTTTTATTTCTGCTTGAATTTGTATTCCCAGCACTTAGCCTGGTAAGGCTAAGCAAATGCTTTTTAACTTGGGTTGATCTGCCCTGTGTGTTTTCTGCGGCAAATTTCAGAGGACCCTGACAGCTTGAGGGGCCCAGATCCAGTATAAGGTTGCTCGGTGCTGAGTTAGTCCCACAATTGGCCAGAACACTCAAATGAAACTCCAGGCAGTGGCCAGACTACAGCCAACGATCCATCATTTTAGCATTATAAGTAGGCTCTCGGTTATGAAGGAATTTCATCTCAGGCAACTACTGTTTCCAAGGAAGGTTCCAGACAGCATTGTGCTGTGGAAAGAGCAATGGAATGAGAGTCAGGAATCCTGAATCTTGCCTTTATCGCTGACTACCTGTACGATCTCGGGCAAGTCTCTGGATCTCTTTCGCCATCAGTAAAAAGAGGATTGCACTTGATGGTTTCTAAGGTACATTACAGCTCAAAATTCTATAAGCTCATACAGAGGATACGGCCTCTTGAGTGAAAAAAAAAAGGTTTACTCATTAAAATATAATGCAATGTGTATATTATTATAGGAAATACAAGGATAAACCTTAACAATAAACATAATGTTGGTATAACTAGCCAGGATGAATGCTTGCCTCATAAATTTATTACATAAAGCTTTTTTTCCCCGCTTCCCGATTCCGAGTTCAGCACTCTAACTACTGTGGTACTTAGCTGCCTCAGGTAAAATAGAGAATAACCAGGCCTTACCATCTTCCCTATGATTAAGGTCCTCCATGCCCTCAAGACTCCCTGTACTATTTTAAGACATACAGATACAGCCTAAAGACTCCTGGACCTTTCCATCCACCCCTTAAGACTTCAGGACGTTTCCATCTATCTTGCATCTGAACCTTCTTTTATATGTTGAATCTTGCCAATTACGGTGTGAGTTCCTTGAGAGCAAAGTTTGTCTCTCCTTTATATGTATATCTCTAGTACTTAGTGCTTGGCATATAATATGTGGTTAATAAATGTTCACTCATTCATTCATTCTTTTATCTGTTCAAACTATACATATTGGTTTAAGGAATCTAAGATACTCCATACTTCTAGCACAAATGAAGAATTAGGGTAAGGGAAACTCTGAAACAAAATTGAATAAATTAGCCCTATTTTCATGCTAAAATATTTCATAAAATAGTTTTGATACATATGTTCATATTTGATATTTTAAGGGTAAAAATATCACCCGCATTGGCATTTTGTTATGGGACTCATAGTTACCTCATATGGAACACCAAAGTTCCATGGAATATGGTTTGGAAATAGGTGATCACAGAGATTAAGAAACATTGTAATTTAAAGTGTTTTGTGTTTTTTTTAAATCCTATTTGGCAAGTGATGTTAGCAACACTCAGGCAGGGAAGTTGCATAGACCTATTTTCTGACCTATTCAAGAAATACCTTAATTGGTATAACAAAGATTTTCCAAATGACAGAGTAAAATTCTTCCCTTCAATCTTTTATTAGCAATAGGCTAAGGTGGTAAATAGTGCACAAATTCATTATTTTCATTTGTTTTCTGATACTTTATAAATACTACTTTAAGATGTAATCGAATGGATTTCCAATAATTAAATAAAATCTTCCAGTTATAATCTATTGCTTCAGATATATATATCCCATGTTATCTTTCAACACCTACTTGAAAAACCTCTCATTTACTTACTTGTGAACGAGACAAATTTGACATTGGCTAATTAGGGGCTCTAAGTTCTCTCTCATACATGTTTTCCTTGCTAACACATGTAACACCTAAAAGACCAGGTTTTACTACATCTACCTATCTATCTATCTATCTATCTATCTATCTATCTATCTATCTATCTATCTATCTAATCTATCTACACATATAGCTAGTTATAGATGTATCTATATATGTGTATGTATATATGTACATGCATCTTAATTATTAATTGTTAATTATTAAATGTGTTAATTATTAAAAAGACCTGATACCTTGAAAATATTAAGACGTTTAAGAAAAAAGGCCTGTATTTTATGACTATGAGTATAATTTGTAGCATGGAGTGGTGTTGTACATGCAGTAGACTGGTATTGGAGGTAGTGTTTAGAAAGGGTTCCTGGAAAAGTCCCATTTTAACAGTGAAATAACAATTGCACATGACAGCCATATCAGATGCTAAGTCTCCAAAAAGATGCTAACATCTTAACCATGAAGGTTTAAAGGTCCTGTCACTTTCATGTCTCATTCTATCTCCCTAGTTCCACTTTAATTAGTGAGCTCTAGTCTCCCCATAAGAAGCCTCATGAATGAAGGAGGACAGCAGACCCCATGATAATCTAATGCCCTGTTATGAATTGGTATGATGCCAAAAGGGGTTCGAAATGTTTTACAAATCAGTCACAGGGAAAAAAAAAAGAAGTAATTCTGCACACAATGTATTCGTATTCATTCTCTCTCCCAAACTAAGCTACCTCGTGTGAGACACAGAACGCATGCTGCAGTTGGACTTCCAGAGAAGAAACATAGCCAGAATAACAGCAGCTCAACTTTCTCTCTGTACAATATATAAAAAAAAAATCAGCACATGCAAAAAAAAGGAGAAGAAGCCTTAGAAAAAAGCCATCTGCTTGGAGGCTGAGAGCGCTTCCAAACTGACGCAGAAGTTGTTAACATGGTTTTAGTACTCTGAAAAAGTACCAGCTGAATGGATGGTAATTTTTCTACCCCTGCGGGGTATCAGAGCTTATATGAAATCATTCTTTTCACACATATTACCATTTAGCTTATTAAAACAGATGATACTTTTATTGTAAAGTGGCCCGGGTAGAATCTAGAAATGTAAAAAAGGGAGAGAGGAGTTTCATCATGACCACCCAGTCTGATAAACGACAAACAGGGACATGACAGACTGTGGCAGAGACAGTGATGTTCCTGGACCTTCTGGAACCACCATAGCTGAAGTGTCACCAGGAAGCCCGTGAATTGCTGTTATGAAAACATTTGCAGTGACTTGCATAATTAAAAGAAACTGCCAGGAAAGCTTTCCTAAAATACAGAGGGGATGTACACAGATAAATACACTTCAAAGGGAATATTACATTTCAGACTTACTAACAGACTGGATTATGCTAAACTGTATCAAACATTCACCAGTCCTTCCTTCCAACAGGCTCTTATATAATTAGAATGACTGACAGCATTGTAATTTAAATGGACTGCTCTCTTAGTCTAAGTTGCAGATTCACTCTGAGGGAAATCTGATGACCATGAGACCTCAAACCACAATCCTCTATTTTAGAGAGCTGGCATGTTTAGTCTCAAACTGCAGTGCACATATAATTATAATGTTATATCTTCAAGCCCACATCAACACGGTTTAAAAAAGAGATATATTAAAGCTTTCTATAGTCATACGGAAAAATGTTCTAAATCACTATTATAGAAATGCAAATCAAAATAACTTTGAGGTGCCACATCACACCTATCAGATTAACTAAAGTGACAAAACAAGAAAATAATAAATGCTGGAGAAGATGTGGGAAAATTGGAACACTAATGCATTGTTGGTGGAATTGTGAAATGATCCAACCATTCTGGAGAGCAATTTGGAACCATGCCCAAAGGGCTAAAAAATATGCATGCCCTTTGATCTAGCACTACCACTTCTAGGTCTGAAACCCAAAGAGATCATAAAAATGGGAAAAGGACCCAAATGTACAAAAATATTTATAGCAGCTCTTTTGTCATGGCCAAGAATTGGAAATTGAGGGGATGTCCACCAATTGGGGAATGGCTGAACAAGTTGTGGTATGTGAATGTAATGGAATACTATTGTACTGTAAGAAATGATGAGCAGCTGGACTTCAGAAAAACCTGGAAAGACTTATTATATGTACCGATGCTGACTGAAGTGAGCAGAACCAGGAGAACATTGTACACAGTAACAGTCACGTTATGTGATGACTAACTTTGATAGACTTTTCTTTTCTTATCAATGCAAGGATCTAAGACAACTCCAAAAGACTCATGATGCAAAATGCTGTCCATATCCAGAAAAAGGACCACGGAGTCTGAGTGCAGATGGAAGCATATTATTTGCTCTCTACTTCTTTTTTTGTTTCTTCTTTCTTATGGTTTCTCCTGTTGGTTCTAATTATTCTTTACAACATTACTAATGTGAAAATAGGTTTAACATGAATATATATGTTGAGCCTATATCAATTTACATGCTGTCATGGGGTGGGGGGAGAGAAGAGATGAGGAGAAAATCTGGAACTTAAAATCTTATGGAAGAATGTTGAAAACTAAAATAAATTAATTTCATATATATATATGTATATTCACATGCTTTTATCCATCTATCTATCCATCCATCCATCTATCCAATATCTATCATTTATCATCTATCTATCTGTCTATCTATTCCACTGAAAGTAGAATGGCAGCATTTTGGTTACTTCTTTGTATCCTGTTTCTTTGTTTAGTCAATGAATGGGATATTTATCTTTTAAAAATCTTAAAAAGAAATGGAATCCATTCAAATAAGATTCTGTTTGTGGAATGCCATAACAAAAACAAAGGGTGGGTAGAATGAAATGACAATGTATGCAACGGTATAGTACTCTGCTCATTAAAATTAATCTTAGAATGCTTTTTGACCCTCTCAATCTAACAGTGACAACATTCATGCAGACAACGTAGCCAGTGAAGGTTTCTATCAACAACTGAATGAACTCTAAAAGGAAAAATTTTCAATGCATGTGCAGAAACAGAAAAGATCACCAGAAAAAAACCCAAACTATTCTGATCTGCATAAAAAACACCATCAAATTGCAACTTAGACCTTTGTTCCCAATACCAACATGCCTTGCAAGAGTAGTTACTTACATCAAACAACTTTTCTATATACATTTCCTCATTGACCTTTTCTCGAAGGATATCCTGGTTTTGCCGGACAAACATGATATAGGCATCAGATAAATCCATCCCTGGTTTCTATTAGGAGAGAATTGATATATGGAGAGGAAAGGGGAAAGAGAAAACCAGAAAGAAAATCCATTAGTCATTGTTCAGAGTTGGTATAAAGTAGCTCCCACTTATATAGAGATTTTGAGCTAGAAGGGCCCTTAGGTCATCTGGCCCAACTCCCTCATTGGTGCACGAAAGCTTATTTGACCTCAACCTTGGCAAATAATTGCTTATATTCTACAAGTTACATTTGTAAAAGGGCTAAGAATCTAAGCCAAGGTGAGCATTTCTGGCAATTTACCATGTATATCTAAGAGGTAAAATACATGTTTCCCTCTTTAGGAAAATAATCAGAAACTCATGAGAGAGGCAAAGCAACATGGTGGGCAGAACGAAAACATACCGGTCTTGGAGGCAGGAGACTTGGATTAGAATCCTGGCTCTGAAATGTATTACATATGTGACTACTGGCAGACTTCATCAGCTGTGAACCTCATTTCTTCAACTATAAAATGTGAGTTATATTACTTCTTGTACCATCTCAGAAGGTGGTTGTCATTAAAACAAATGGAGGTCAATGAACATGATGTACAGGCATATACAAGCATGACAGGTCAGTTAAGTGCTCAGACATTTAAAACTATCTGCATACTATGAGCACTCCCTAACTATAACCACAATTTACTTTTCATTATCCTAGTGGAGATTATCTACCAACAAGGTGGTAGAATTTATGTGTTATGGAAAACTAGGCTTGGTTTTCTTTCTGGGTGACCCAGAATGTTATTGGCCACCTCCTTCAATGGCTAAGTGTATTTAAGTAATACAAACTTATCATGTAAGTCTAAATAATACATAATTAGAAAGAAAATATTATGCAAATTAAAAAAGGAACTCTTAATGCATTCTGAAGCTCAGTATAAATGATTTTTGGATTATCCATCCATAGGAAACAGTTTGGTGAAGTGGAAGGAGTATCTCACTTGGAGTCAGAAGACTTGGATTTAAGTTTTAGATCACATGACATTTGTCAGAGTTTGTATACCGCGTTCTAAGTCTTCCTAGTTGTAGTCTGCAGACAGGCAAACCAACAAGTAGAATGGATGAAGCCTGATTCTGCCTGGTTGTCAATGAATCACTTCCCTTCCCAACTCATCCCTAGTCTTTTAAAACCACAGAATCTTGGGTTTGTATGGTCAGAAGGGACTTTAGACATCATCTGATCCAATCTTTTCATCTTATAGTCAAGGACAATTCTCTAGCCTCATGATAACTTGCCTTAGTGAATTCCAACTTAGTTTGACATAATCTATTTTGTAATCTACTTAGTTAATTTAGTTGACTAAGGTTTGGTGTTAACAAAGACAAGATAGCAATCATCATCACTGCCATTCATTCATTCACATAGTGTTTCAAGGTAATCAAAGCTCTTGTCTTATAACACCATACCAAGGTAGTGTTTTATTAGTCCCATTTTACAGATGAAAAAACTGAGACTAGGAAAGATTAGGTGACTTGTCCATAGTCACATAGTTTGTAAATATCTGAGGATGAACTTGAACCCTAGCCTGTTGACTCCATGCTGCCTCCCCATATAGGCTTGGTTGTTTTGCTTCAGTCCAGACCTGCAGACAGCACTCATAAACTTAATAAGTTGTGTTTCTAAATGAATATTATTGGCCAGAAGAGGGACCAATATAGAAGGGGGAAAGAATTAGATTAAACATCACACCAGCTGTTAGAACAATTCGAAACTTATTCTCTACTGTTGATTAGTCAATGGTACCATCTATAGGTCAAAGCTAGTATATTCTTTAATAAAAGACTTTAAAATCCATCCTTTCTTTTGTATATTTAATATATTTCCAAACATTTTAACACAAAACTGGGGCACACGTTAGGAGAATGTGACTTGTTCAACTAAAGGTTATTTGAAAGGCTGGGTTGTTTTTTGTTTGTTTTTTTTTTGCTTTTGTAACAAAGATGTTTGAGCAAGGCTAAAAGCTTTATTACTTAACTGCCTGAAGCTGAACAAACATTGTGCAAACTTAAGAGCCCTTAAAAACACAACACTCAAAGGAGCCTTACAAGGATCACTTATTAATATCAAAGAATGATGCACAGACATTTTGCTACTGGTATTTCTTGAAGAGCATGTTATCTATAATGCTGGTTACATTTCAAATATAATGGAGGCTTTTACTAAGTCAATTCTTGAATTTATTTTTGCCCTCCAAAGTCCAGAAACATCTGAACACATACATATCTTCTTCAAGGACATGATTTTTAATGGAAAATTTTATCCCCATTGATAGGGTGGATAAAGAGGTGGCCTTGGAGACAAGGAGACCTGAGCGTATGTCCTCTCTGACATTTACTGGCTGTGTACTGGCTGCATGCCTACTCTAGTATCTTTGCCAGGAGAATCCCAAATGGGGTCATGAAGAGTCAGATGTGACTTAAAAATGACTGAACAACAACATGACCCTGGGCAACTCACTTACCCTCTCAATGCTCTTTGAGAATCTCTAAGACTAACTTGCCCAGGAAGTGCCAACCTGCATCAGTAAAAGGAGTTTTCTTGTCTGGAGTTACCTATACCAATGAAATCACGGCTCTAGTTCTTATCCCTATCTGCTCTAGGAGAAAAGTCAAGAGAATTTTTTGTTACGGTCAGCATCTTAAGGTTAACTAGCACTTAGGACAATGAGAAATTCTCAAGTACTAGGATTCTCTCAGGAACTCTCAAGTGCCGAAGACTGAAAAGTGAGGAAGTCCCAAAGGCATCAAATAGCCCAGGAACTAAAGTAACAGGCAGGGGCTCCTTAGCCAGAACAATGGTGTGAACTCATGCTAGGCTCATGATAAGCAAAATACTCTATAGACAAGATGTGAGAGCTGTTGCATGGATACAAATTAAATTGAGATTTAAAAGCAAGGGCAATTCAAGTCTTCCCACCTCTAAAGTTTTTATTTTATTGTCATTCAAAGAAACAAGTCCTTTAATCCAGTCAATCATTTGACCCCGTCAGCCAAGAAACTGTTGAATTACAGCAGGGAAGATTGCCAGAAAGTGACAGTATACAATAGATTTAAAAAGTAGCCTACTCAGTTAGGAAAAAAATGAATGCATTCACCAGGATTTGGATTTCTAGATCAGATACAGGAATAAGGGGCTTGGAGCTAGGGCTAGGGTGCACATAATGAAAGTTAGGAAGGTTATATTTCAACACAGACTTATGGCTGTGTTAAAGAGTTCTTTAAGATGAAACTGGAGGGAGAAACAAACTGGACACACACACAAACACACACACACACAAACATACCCACCCCACAAATATTTGCTAGTGATTCCCCTTCCTCAACCGCCCAATTGTTTTGTATTTATATTGCATGTATTTTGTTCTTATCCATACTCATATTGCCCCGTGTGTGTGTGTGTGTGTGTGTGTGTGTGTGTGTGTGTTAAATTAAATGAACTGAGGAAACCAAATGTTCAATCTTCCAGGCACACTGATTTACTAAGCAACGCATGGCAATTGCCCAACAAACCAGGATCAGACATCCTCAGTTTAGGCTGGACTCCAAATATAGGAGGAGACAGACTTTTTATACATTAAAAACAATCAAATAAGGTCAATTAATCAAAAGGAAAAAAATACATTAGGTCATCTGATTTTTAACTGGATGAAAGATTAGGGACTTTCCAAGCTGGGAGGGGGAGAGTGAACAGGTGCAATTCACTGAATTCAGAAAAGGAGATGTCCCACTCCCTCCTAGTGTCTATAAACAATCAAAGGAATATGGAAACAATAACTGATTAATTGGCATGGGGTCAGTTTTCAGATAAGACATACAGGTTGCTTGAGATGTACAATTGTGAGAAGGCTCCTTGCATCAGTCTTTGAGTCTGACTGGGTTTCTGATCGTATTACCTAGGTCTTTGGTTAAGGGTCTCTAAATAGCATGTAGGGGTGGTCTGGCTTCCCAGCCATGCAAGGCTGGGTTCAAACAAGGCAGTAACTTTTTCTCCCACTTCCCACAATTTAATAAAGTTTTCTCACAGAAAAGAAGTTGGACTAGATCCATAATTGAATAGAAAGGGAACTACATTAGATCCAGAATTGAGTCACAAGATGAAGTCAGTGTGGTACACTCAATTCCTATTACCACTTGCTGTCCTAATTCCCCCAATTCTCTCACTGCTAAGCCCTTTATTTTAAAAAGGGGTAAGTTCTTCCTATTTTTATTGGAAGAATATCAATATAGAGGTCCAATAATTCACAGGGGACACTGGCCAAGAAAAACAGGTATCATGATGGTGCGGATCATATATACATATGTGTGTGTGCGTGCGTGCATATGTGTGTGCATGTGTGTGTATACCACATAGTTGTACAGGGTATGGATAACTGAGTAAACTAGAGAGCCTAATCCAAGGATATAAATGTATTTAGCCTTACCAGTATCAGTGAAGACCTAATGGGATGGTAATTCCACGCTAAAATAATGCAATGGAAGGTTTTATCTTATTCAGAAGAGAAAGATTAGATAAAGGGGACAGAAGTGTAGAAGTATACATAAATGGTACTGTATATTTCTCGAAAGGAAATCCAGAGAGAGAAGGGGAGCTGTATGATAGAGAGCATAAGCAAAATGGAAGACATTTGGTTGAGATCAACAGAGGGAGAAGCAGAAACGATACCATCATCGACATATATTACACACCACAAGAACAGAAGGAGGAAATGGATGATGTGTTTGGGAAACATCACAAACTTAGCACTAAAATATGACAATGATAGGGTGCTATATGGACATCTTGTGGCAGTCTCTCCCTATGTTAAAAGTAAAGCAGTTTATAAATTCATGACTTGTCTTGATAATTCTGCCCTTCAGGAATTGAAAGGATAAGAGGAATTTCTCTTTTAGACTTGATTTTGATAAGTAAGCAGGCTCTTCCATCTCTGTGCCATTTCACAAAACAGGCCACTCTCCATGCCTGTAATGAACTCTGACTCCTCATC